CTATCTATCTATCTATCTATCTATCTATCTATCTATCTATCTATCTATCTATCTATCTATCTATCTATCTATCTATCTATCTATCTATCTATGCTGCTGTAAGTGTTTGCCGCCCCCTGCTGGACGTCCCGCCTCATCACACCGAGCGCGTCATTGTCGTCCATAAACTTTATTTAAAAGTTCAAAGTGCGCATTAGTTGACATTTTGGAAGCAGGATGAGCCAATCACAGCCTGCTCCTCCTCCTCTCTTTCATTCTCTGTGCTCTGAACAGCAGCGATCTCATTTACGCACATTACGTGAACGTAGCACAGACTCCGGTTACCGGGGCCGCGTCAGCTGTTTCTATTTTCTCCATCTCGCCCTCCGACCCGGAAGTGCTCGCGCACACACATATGCTCACGTACCCGCACGCAGAGCGTACGCGTTCCTCCCTCCATCACACACCGGACTCCGCTTCGACCACCGACACCGAGCTCTGCGGGCCGGACCGAGCAGGACCGCGCCATGTCCCTGCAGCTGCCCCCGTGCGTGATAGACTGCGGGACCGGGTCAGGACAAGCGCACACACACACACACACACATGCGCGCGCAGTGGCATTACATGTGACGTCATGTGTTTTTGTGAACAGCATCATGTATGTGGATAAGATAGCCTTCATTAGTCCCACGCGTGGGAAATTAGTTTTGTTACAGCAGTGTACGGTGCAAAGTTGCATAGAAAAATTAGAGAAAAAACACTGGAATAATATATCATAAGGTACTGTACACAATAGAATAGAATAGAATAAAAATAAAATACTATATACAATCGAATAAAATAGAATACAAATGCTATATACAATATGAGTATAATACAACGATGCCAGAAAGAGTATTGCACTTAGTCTTGTTGCACATGTGTGGGTTTGTGTGTTTGATCAGTTGGAGTCTTTGTTGTGGAGTCTGACAGCAGGAAAGACCTGTGAAATCTCTCCGTCCCACACTGTGGGTGCCGCAGCCACTGAAGGAGCTGCTCAGTGCTGTCACAGTCTCCTGCATGGGGTGGGTGATGTTGTCCAACAGGGATGACAGCTTAGCCCCCATTCTCCTGTCACTCACCACCTCCACTGGGTCCAGAGTAGAGCAGGGCGATATGACCAAAAATATTTATCACCATATACATTTGAACATTTGCAATAACAATATAACTGACGATATAATTGACACTAGACAAAATACTTTACAACTCCACAACTTTATTAGTGCAAAAAACCCATCAATGTATTTTCACTTAAACAAGCAGCTGTTTTATATCTGCATTAAAGTTATATAAACATGTAACAGTGCAAATGCAAATTCTTGGCTGACATTTCCAGTGGAAACCGGGCGACACATCCTCAGCATAACCATGTATAATACCCACAAAACTTAAAAAGAGGTTATAAACACACAATACGGTAATATTATGTTGAAGCACAGTTCGTATCACTCCGCGAGGCTCCGCCTACGATAGCCGTAATGCTCCCACAAATCCATCAAGCGGTGCGGCTTCGTAGCTTAGCAAAGTCGTACTGAAACATTTGACAGATTTTCGAGCGCCGTGTACATAAAATGGTTTCGAGGTCAGTAACACAACCAGAGTTCATACATAAGGCACACGGGATTATAAGGGGCTCTGTCGACTTTCAGAAAAATCAAAGGATTGATTTTAAGTGCGCCGTATTTTCCAAACAACACGGTAATAACGACGGCCCGCTAGCATGCGCTACCAAAAATAGTGCTTTGTTGTGTGTCTGACAGACGAAAGCTAAACCAGTTCCACACCAGTGAAGCTGCAGCATTTTTACAAACCAGTTCAGGTTCATCGTTTCATTCAACGATCCGCTTTCGCTCTTCTCATTCTGCGTCGCCGCCATGTGCGCATGTAAACAAAGGCACTGCGCACGCGCGTTTTACCCATATTCTATCGCCATATTTCATTTTCCTATCGTTGCCCAAAATTACACCGGTATTACCGTGAACGGTATGATATAGCCCAGCCCTAGTTCAGAGGGCATCCTAAAACAGAGCTGGCCCTTCTGATCAGCCTATTCAGTCTCTTCCTGTCCCCGGCAGAGATGCAGAGCAGACCACACCATAAAAGATGGCTGAGGCCACTGCAGAGTCATAGAAGGTCTTCAGGAGTGGGCCCTCCACTCCAGAAGACCTGAGTCTCCGCAGCAGGTACAGCCTGCTCTGCCCTTTCCTGTAGAGGGCGTCTGAGTTATGAGTCCAGTCCAGTCTATTGTTCAGATGAACACCAAGGTACCTGTAGCTGTTCACAGCCTCGATGTCCATACCTTGGATGTTCAGTGGTTACAGTGGAGAATGCTTGTGCCTGCGGAAGTCTACCACCAGCTCCTTGGTTTTACTGGCGTTGATCTGGAGGTAGTTCAGCTGGCACCAGTCCACAAAGTCTTGGGTCAGACCTCTGTACTCCCTGTCGTCCCCATCAGTGATGAGGCCGACTCTTGCAGAGTCATCAGAGAACTTCTGCAGGAAGCACTGGGTGGAATTGTGGGAGAAGTCTGCAGTGTAGATGGTGAAGAGGAGCGGAGCCAGAACCGTTCCCTGTGGGGCCCCCGTACTGCAGACGACCCTGTCCGACACACAGCCCTGAGTCCTCACATACTGTGGTCGGTCAGTGAGGTAGTCCAGGATCCAGGTAGTGAGGTGATGGTCCACTCCAGAGTTCTCCAGCTTGTCCTTTAGAACCGAGGGAAGAATGGTGTTGAAGGCACTGGAGAAATCAAAGAACATGATTCTCACAGTGCTTCCAGCGGTCTCCAGGTGAGCTAGGGAACGATGTAGGAGGTGAATGACGGCATCATCCGCTCCAATGCCAGGCTGGTAGGCAAACTGAAGTGATGAGCTTGTTAGGCGCTGAAGCTGAGCCAGGACCAACCGCTCCAGAGTCTTCATCAGGGGGGATGTCAGAGCCACACACAGGAGGTGTTCCAGAGCTGTGGGACTCTCCCCAGCCTCAGGCTCAGGTTGAAGAGGTGCTCCATCACCCCACACAGTTGGTCTGCGCAGGACCTGACGACCCTCGAGCTGATGCCATCTGGACCCGCAGCTTTCCTGGATTTAATCCTCCGGAGTGAGTGTGCGTGTTTGTGTGTGTGTTTTTGTACACGCGCGTGCTTGTGTTTACAGGGACAGATTACCAAAATAAAAGCTGGCTCTTGGAATCATCCATCAGTGGGTGGAGGTAAACGCGCTGTGATGATCAGGTGGTTGGGGCAGGTGAGGGGCTGATGGCGGTGCTTACACTGAGCTCCAGCTGTTCCACATGTTCATCCAGCTGCTGCTGTGGGAGCTGCTGGTTGGGTGGAGGTTCAGGTGAAGTTGTGGACCAGTCTGTGCGCGATCTATTCTGGGCCACAGTGTGAATGTGGGACAGCTGCACACTGACCCCCCTCCCCCTGTTCAGAATCAGAGATCATGTGATCTCCTTCAGCCTCGACGTCGGTCCGTGCCCCCGAGCCAAGGTGACATCGTGGGGTCGTTTAGAAATAGCTCACGGCTGCAGGCGTTTAAAGGGTGACGCTGAGCTGACTGTCAGCCGTGAACACACGCATAACAGCCAAAAACACTCAAGAGCAGGTCCCAGATCAGTTTGGTCTGGCTTTGGAGAGGGATCCCAGGGTCCAGGGTCAGGTATTAGAACTGATCCCAGGGTCAGGTATTAGACGTGTGGGTCTATCCAGCAATCACAGCCAGTTCGGTTCATTTTTAATCTTTCATGATTTATTTGTCAGAACTCAGTTTAATGGAACAAGATGTCATTTTTTTTGTTCGTGTTTTTTTGATGTAGTGAAAATACTACAGTTACTTTACAGTTACTACAGTTACTTTACAGTTACTACAGTTACTTTAGGTACTTTTCCCTTATGATGAGGTAAAAGGATATCATCCTAAGGACAGGTCTGCAGTAAAAATGAGTCAAACACTGTGAGTGTCGTCAGGCAAACGCTCCTGAAGTCAAACTGCTGAAATGATGTTTTGGTGCTTTGTATCTGCAGGTCCTGATTATTGTTACTGTTGCTCATCATTTTCTACATGAACTGAATATTTACATAGAGGTCAAAGACAAAGCAGTAATCGGTCACGCCTCTGTTTGCTGACTCATTTCCTGATGTTTTATCAATGTTTTATGTGCAAAACTGAATTTATAAATGTCTGCTGGGAGTCACTCCACTGTTTTCTACAGAGGCCGTATTTGGACCCACAGCCAGATGTTAAGAACCTTTATGTCTAACTGTTGTTTCTGTCTGTGTGGCTGCAGATACACAAAGATCGGCTATGCAGGAAACACCGAGCCACAGTTCATCATGCCGTCCTGTAAGCATCTCACAGCAACGACGGACAGACAGTTAAGGTTAAGTTAGGTTCACTTTCTGTTTCTAAAGCTCAAAGTGAACCTAACTCTGCGTCTTCATCAGTTCTTCCACATAAGTATAAAAATATAAGTCTTTATCTAACCAGAGAAGCTTAAATCTAATCACATCTTTGAAATGACCAAACAAACAGTTTTAGGTTCAGAGCAGCCCTCTGATAGGCTGCAGCCTCTCTAAACTGGGTAAATGTTTGATAAAAATGGATGAATGGTAGTTCAAGGCTTTGTCAGTAGAAGGTGTGAATGAGTACACCACAGTATCCACAGCATAGTAATGAATAGAGCCGCTGTTAGTCAATGATACCAGGTTATTTGAGAACCAGGTGAATAGGTCAGAGCCAAGTACTGACCCCTGTGGAACACCTTTTGTCCCAGTTCTCCCAATAAGATAACTGTGACATGAGTTCCAAGTCAGAACCAACCAGTCTAAAGCTGCATACACACTGGAAGGTATTCTCAGTAACGAGTGAACCATCTTTGGCCACTTCAAGCGCACGTGGATGAAGAAAGGGCCGCTGATGTGAAGTGTGCAGATCTGTGATGTTCTCTCCTCAACTTGGAGGCGAGCAACTCAAGGGTCTACCCAATGACAGCGAAGAATACCACTGAGTGACATATGACCTGGTGGTAAATACATTAGAGGGTCACCTAGGCAACCGGAGCCTGGAACGCTTTGAAGTGGTCGGCTACAAAACAGTATGTGATGGGCCAACTGGTTCCAGCGTGGACTTAAATGTGAGAGCTTTATGGTCCAATGCTGCACACTCCACCACATCATTAACCTCCTCACACGCTGCGTCAAGTCTAAAGGCAAACAGGTTCCAGATATCAGACTAAAACTGGACCAACCGAAGGCTTCGGAGCGCGCGACAGTTTGGATATGAGGTTGTGCTTTCATCACGGCCTCTATCACCTCCTTCATGGAGTTACTCAGCTCAGTTTCATGTATACACCAACAGTCAGCTGAAGGCTGCTTTGATGACTGATTTCCCATCATGCAGCATGTCAGCGCTTCGTTACCCACATGTGTAAATGTGCCAACAGGAGGCGATCCTGGTTATGTACTGCTGCAGACTTTCACAGTTAATAAATGTGTGAGATTACTGTGCATTACACACTGATGCACTGCAGGCTCTCCCTGTGAGCAATGCAGACGGTCAGGTTAGGGAGGAACTGCTCCACATGTCTGTTCCTCTCTGTCAGCTGCAGACTCAACAAACCGTGTGTTTAACCCCCCACTCCGGTGAAACCATCCTAGTCCGACAAAACGTCCTACCCGTGTTATAATTTGACAGTGACTTGCTACTAAACCTAACCATAACCATAACCTTAAGAAGTATTCCGGATGGGTGAAAGAAAGAGAAGTTAATTCGGCGTTGGTGTAGTGCGCATGCGCCACGTCTGCGCAGAAACATTGGGTAGGATGTTTTTTTCAGGTAGGATGGATTCCCAGAACACCGGCACTTTGTGCTTTGAGTAGCCATAATAAACTTTTCAATGGTTTATTCTGCTGTAACCAGTGAAAGCCGTGACTCATGTATGTTTATGGTTGTGTTAATGGCATGCACCAGGTATCGCAATCAAGGAGTCGGCCAGCGTGGGAGAGCAGGCCCAGAGGAGGCTCGTACGAGGAGTCGATGACCTGGACTTCTACATCGGCGACGAAGCCGTAGACAAACCCAACTATGCAACCAAGGTAGGAGAAGGAAAAGAAGCAGGACCCTGTTTGTGCAACGAGATGTAAATGAAACCTGATGGTTTGGTCTGCTGCTGTTCTCCGTCCTTTGCTGTTTAGTGGCCAATCCGACACGGGATGGTGGAGGACTGGGACCTGATGGAGAAGTTTATGGAGCAGGTCATCTTCAAGTACCTGCGAGCTGAACCTGAGGACCACAGCTTCCTCATGGTACACTCTCACAGTGTTTGTGTTGATTCTGTTTCATTCTTCAGGAAGTTCTTCAGCTCTTTGACTGAAGGTAACACTGATGAGGACTTAGTGCCATTGCTACAGTTACCGGCAGTTTAAAATCCACTGTTAAACCGAACCTCAAGCTGAGAGCAGGATCCTGAGCCCACGGTCACCAAAGCGCTCGCTCGTAGGGGTCACGTGACTGTCAAGCTTTTATCGGCATTATCCGGTTGTTCAGTCTGACGTCACTAGCCGTGTCTGGGCCTAAACTCCGCTGCAGGTCCATATATCAAATGATCACTATGGCATTACTGAGAGTTGAAAAACTCGCTAGCTTCTATCTAAATACAATATAGCATGTCCTTACTGCGGGGGTTTGGAAACAAATTCAAACGTACAGCTCTGTTATCACTTCCAGCATAAATGAAGACAGAAAACTAAACAGCAGTGACGTTTGTAGGGTTACTGAAGTTGGGCTAGCTGCTATATAATGATGTGCTACGTGACCGCTAGCGACACAGCTATGTTAGCATAATATAAACAAGCTAACTTTTTTTCCACTGATAAAAGTTAGCGTGAGTGTTCTCGGTGGTCAGGAACAAATGTAATCGCATGGCAGGATGCTGTAAAAGGACCAAACTTCAGCCAGGAGAACAAC